AGACCTGTTTAACAAGTGCAATATTGGGGGAAAGACTTTTCTCATACAGTCTCAGATACGGTGGACTGGTCCTATCTTGAGAATGCCTGATGACAGGATACCCAAGATCCTAATGTGCAGACAGTTAGATCAGAGCTACAGGATTGTAGTACGCCCATGTCTAAGATAAACAGATAAGCTGAATAGCAATTTGTCAACTCTCAATATACCACATAACACCCTCGAGCGCTTAGCCTTGGAGCGGGTAGAATAGAGATCAACGTGTTTTAGTGACCTCAGCAGTTTTCAATCTGCTTGCCTGAATCGTCTTCAGGAAGTGCGAGCATGATCTAAAAAGGTCAGCCTATCTAACAGGAATCTCATTCCACAATCCTCACACTTGCTCCATATGCGGCCTCCATTGTAAGTTACTGGCGGGTCTTAAGTGCCACTTAAGATTATCGCACAAAATTTAATAACTGAATCAATTAAGTTGTCTGATCATGATACGGCGAAATCAACGGGAGAATACATTATATATATATATATATATATATATATATATATATATATATATAAATTTGTCTTTTTTATATGCATGTATTTTATATGAAGACGTACTTTGTATATATGTTATGTCTATGTTTATGTATATATATATATATATATATATATATATATATATATATATTACAAAATGGACAATTATTTTAGTATAATTTATTGTTATACAGACACAAAGTAAACACACACACATATATATATATGAACTTACATATTCATACACACACCTATATATATATATATATATATATATATATATATATATATATATATATATATATATATATATATATATATATATATATATATATGTATAAGTCACATGAAGTATACACTCATATATGTGTAAGGAATATCCATATACATACACATACCCACATATATAGATATATACATACATACATAAACACATACTCATACACACACACACATATATATATATATATATATATATATATACATTAATAAATTTGATCGTTATACGTTATTTATATTGATACAAATATTTTAGTAAATGATGTGTTTATGATAAACAGTATTAACAACATTTTAACCTACTCTCTTCTTAAATGAAAAACTAAAAGGGTTTTTCAGTGATTCTTATGACAAATGGTGTCAAGATGATTAAACCACTTATCTGAAAACCTAGAAAAGATTTTAGACAATTATCGCTTACTGTTACACGATTTGGACATTTTTATCCCTGTTACACACGGTATATGAGATAATGATATGCATTTTTTATACCAAAACAATATTGTGGGAATTTATGACAACATGAAAAAGTGTCGGAAGTAGAAATTTAACTGAGACAGCTGTCGAAAACTTAACACAGGATTTATCCATTAAATTTCTAATGCCGACACGAATTCAGTCTATACACCGGGGTTTGAATAAGACTGAGGATATTTTCGTCGCTTGAAACAGATCCCCTAGATGATGTGATTTGAGATTTTGTTGTGTGATACCGATTATATATATATATATATATATATATATATATATATATATATAGAGAGAGAGAGAGAGAGAGAGAAACATGAAGAAATATAGTCTTAAGGGGTGCTATATTTAAGGATAAAGTGCTCAATATCAGAAACAGTGCGTGTGTAAATATAAAAGTGAACACTGAAGTCAACTTTTAGACGCGACAGGCTGTTTCATGCTAGATGCAATCATCAGGACTCTAAGTGTTGACTTCGATTACATTATTTGCACTATTGCCCTCATCTTTGTCGCCGTATTTCGACAGAAACGTTGTAATAAATATGGCGACAAAGATAAGATCAACAGTCCGAATAATGTACATATTACCTCATCTCAGAAATATAGACAGATACTGAAGAGCCGAAACGTTGTGATAAATATGGAAACAAAGATGATCACATTAATCCGAATAATGTACATAATATGCATAATACCTCATCTCAGAAATATATATATATATATATATATATATATATATATATATATAGTCAAATCAATAAATCCTTGATATATAATCCTCTCTTAGTTTTAAATTAATACTTCATTCTTCATATAACTCCAATTTAATATGCGGATTTAATTTCATAAAACCTCCGCCCTTTAAGACTTAAGGGTTCAATTTTAAATAAGACTTAAGATTTCAGTTTTTAATTGTTGTTAACATCAGGAAGAGACAGCTGAATTTTCTAGGACACATAAAAAGAAAAGAAGGTCATGGAGAATCGGATCTTCACAGGTCAAATAGAGGGAAAGAGACAAGGGAAAGAAACTCTGTGACGTCACCCTCGGCCTCTCCCTGCCCCCGTGCTATCCTGAGACGACCAATGTGACTTGGTATTGGTCGCTGCACCAAATGTGACGTTCTAACCCTTGGCCGATTCGGATGGGAATCTGGTTAGATTCGGTATCAGCTTTGTCGTTCCCAGCTCGCCTCCAACCTCTGGTTACCGAAGTAACTGCTTTGATTTCTAGTCTAACCTACCCACGTTGTGATTTGATCTTAGGTAGACGAAATCAATCAGTCGCCGGACCGTAATGCAAGCTGAGTCCGGGCAAGGGTAACACCGCACAAGTATATGTAAAAGAAAAAGTAACAACTCGAAAATTCAAATGTGTTAAAAAAGATTAACAAATATTTTTATATCTGGTTGCTGAATACAGGACTGCTTCTTTCTCAAAAACCACTTCTATGGATTCGTGATACTTTGCGCTTGTTAGGCGAGTCTTAACATCTTAAGTTGTTTTTTCTTGAAACTGGTTCTTGGTGTATCTTCAGGCGATATTCGTAAAACTTGTTTTGGTGGTGTCAGTCGTTCTACAAAAATAAATTGTTATTGGGTAGAAGTCGAAGTCGGGATGCGTGGATATCTTTCAGTCAGCTTCCTGCGAGGCTGGTCTCAGAGCTCACAGCTCAACTCTGTCTGCGTCTGCGTCTGCGTCTCTCCAACTCCAACTAAACTAACTCGCTGCGACTCTGCTTATAAGGACGCCGACCAAAACCGGGTGTGGGTTTGTCGGAGTTTGAGTTCCTCGATAATTCTAAATCCACAATAAGGATTTTCTTTGTTTTCGCACAGGAAAATTTATCACTTTCCATTTTTGGAAGTCCATTACTTTCTGCTTAAGGGAATCCTCTCAAAATCTTCCTTTCTCATATTGGTATCTCACACCAATCCCCTCAGAGGGTGTCAACAGGTTTCCCCTCCTTCTCATATGTTTACCTTCGCCTACCGCTCACGCCACCACTCAGCCAATGAGCTCCGCAGCGCGGGTGCCTACAGTTATCGCTCAAAGGAAAAAAAATTATCTTCTTTTTTTCTTTTCTTTCTCCTCCCGACATCAGACATCTACGACTAGAATGTCACCTGGAATTTATCAACAAGATTTTCGCCAGCGTCAAATGGGTGGTCAACTGGACGTATTCGCACTCTATATCCAATTATCCATCCCGGTACCAAACTTTTATCATGTCCAGGTCTGGACAATAAAACAGGTGGTCTCTTTCCAAAAAAAATGATATCTCCGAAAGATAGTTAATGGTTTATTCTTTTTCTTTCTCTTTTCCCTTCCTTTCCTTCTTTCTTTGGGAGTGGTCCAAACTGATGCCATTCTCGGTCAGTGCGTGACCTGATTAACATTATCTCTCAGATTCTGTTTCAATTTTCATTATTGCCATGGGCAGATGGCTATCTTTTATTCGCCGCCTCGTAGCATAAATGAATTCGACAGATCCGAGATCTTATGAATTTCCTATCTTCTGCGAAAAAAATACTTTTCTTCGCAAATGAAAATAAAATCTTTACTACTTTTCTTTGTTAAAAAAAATAACATCGCTCAGTATGACTTTTCGTGATAGCTTCTTCTCGCCTTAATTATTTCTCGCTTTTAATTTTCATCGACCGCTAAATAGTGTCACACTCATCACTTACTTGGTGGACTTAAGCAAGTGGCATGACACATCGTGGTCTTGGGGAAGTGGCAGAGCGATGAAGCTTATTGAGAGCTACAAGGCATAGGAAAGGACACGGGATATGAAAAATGACCAGCTAAATAACTCAAACCATTTCAATAGCTTAAAGTTTGTGTGTGCGTGTTCGTGTGTGTGTGTGATTGTGTGCCTTCATGTCTCTCTGTGTTTGTGTGTGTGTGTGTGTGTGGAGAGTGAGAGAGAGAGAGAGATTGTTGTGCTTCTTATTGTGACCTCATACTTCTACTAATTTTGCCGCCTTTCGCCGGACAAAATGATATTCCGCTGTACCTTCTTAGTTCATCTCATTTCAAATTAAGCTTATACGTTGATGGCTGCAGTAAAATATATTTTCTATTGCCCCCATTAAATTCACTATAATTTGGTTGGTAATTCTAGAGTAATATATTATGTTTTTTTTGTTTTGTTTTTTTTTTTACTCCAGCCAGACAGCTCTCATCATACACAACCCCAGCTGTAGACGGTCTTATATACCAGACGATGGATTGTTATTTACGCTTGTACATCTCGTGAATTGGTCCCATTAGCACCAATATTCCTTACAGTGCTATATCTAATTGTTGCTATTGTGTTTTTCTATGTTATACACCAATTACTGTAGAAAGGCGCAGAGAGATAAAAAACTTTATTGGCTTATTCATTATCTTAATAATATACCTATATATATATATATATATATATATATATATATATATAAATGTGTGTGTGTGTGTGTGTGTGTGTGTGTGTGTGTGTGTTTTTGTAACGAATGCACGGACGCAATTTTCGACGGATTTGCACCAAAATTTACATGCAACATTGAAGACAACACTCAGAGGCGACAGGCTGTTTCATGCTGGAGGCAATCTTGATATATATATATATATATATATATATATATATATATATATATATATATATATATACAGGAAATCCAGTTGATATTTAATCCAAGTGAAACCTATTAATATAATACAATATAACAATATTACCATATCTAGACATGACCACTCTCCTTTGCCATCTCCTCCTCTTACTTTTCTTCTCACTATTCTGTTTCTCTTTCTTTCTTTCTTTCTTTTTTTCTTTCTCTCCGTTTTCTCGTCCTTTACTTGTTCCTAGATTTTAAAATTAGCTGTATTTTGATTTTTCTTGTTAACCTGATAGATTTGTAAATGGTTGTAATTTAATTTTAATTTACAAGGGGAAAGGATAATCATCAATATTATGGTGGTAATTCTAATTCCTATAAATTTATATATATATATATATATATATATATATATATATATATATAAAAAAAAGAAGAGAGGCACCGCAAAATTTCCACATATTATTAAAAATAATTAATTTATTTCTTCATGTTTTTCGATGTTAAATATTCTCGGTATGAGACATTCTCTTTTTTTGTGTGTTAGTGACCCTAATGTCTTTCTTGAACTAGCAGTGAAAAGTTCTGCGTTAAGGGTTATAAAACAATTAGAATTTGGTCCAAGAAATGGCGATGTAGTTATCGGTATTCTTATTTTTTAATGACCCCTGCGTGTTCTTACATTTGTTTCCATTTTCGTGTGTTTTTATTACAACCAACTTATGGAACACTTCCCTCTCCTTGCTTCCCATCCAACATTAATGTTCAAAAATTTAAATGTAGTGTCAATCGTTAACTACTGTCTTCTTGATTTCTCTTCTTTTATTTTTTCATATTCTTTCACACTCATTAACCCGCTCTGTCTTAGTGACCATATTGTTTTTCTTGCACAGAAATGATTAATGAAATTAGCGAAATTGTAAGCATAGTTTTGAACAGGCATATCTGAGTTCTTTATAATTGAGTCGATTTGCAAATATTGCTCAAGTGTATACCAAAGTATATAGGAAAAAACAGTGATTTATACCTTATTGTCTATCAGTAAACATTGGACGAGTTTATACTGAAGTCTGCAGTGAATATTGGTCAACTTTATATTTGAATTTACAAGAATTCACCAGGAACATAGACACTTTTGCTGGTGCCTAACCGTTCTACAGGGGGATGCAATCGGTTTATTCTAGATGCCGTCGATAGGGTAGAAATAGAAATAAGGTTCTCTTCACACTGTAGTATAATGAAATAAATCATCATTTACATTTTAGCCAGATATATAATATGCAATTATTGTCACCATTACTAAACCCTGGCTGAATGTATAGGTTTTCTGAATTGGAATATGAATGATCTTGAACATCCGTGGACAAATATCCCAAGTAGGAGTTACTAGAAAACTTTCCAAAAAAGAAACTATAATCTTGAATTATGATGAAAGCATTGCTAGCGCCTAACCTGAATCCATCATTAAAATAATCAGAATGTGGGAGTAGTAAATAATAAATATTTCACATAATTTAGTGTATTTAGAATAATGTTTACCCTGTATAAGTCACAAGAAACATTCGCATGAGGCATAGTTTATTGGAATATGTTGGGAAGGTAACGGTTAAGCCTAGACTTAAACAAGATGGGATTCTAAGGATCGGAGAAGAATCCCCATTGGGAATTGCTTCCACAAAGCAACGATTCGGAGGAAGATGTTATTCGAGTGGAATTTACATCGCACTAATGGAATATAAAGAGAGTGAGGCTGGTTCAATACAATATGTGTAGCATGACGGATCTTTGAAGGGGAGGACTGGTGGAAGCAAGGAATGTAGCTCGTCAAATCATTTTCCATAGGAATAGCGATAGAGCGGCTAGAGAAGTGCGACTTTTTGTCTTAGGGAAAGAGGTTGTAGGGTGGAAAATTAATTAAAAACCCGGAAACTATTTTGGACTCTACTGAGACTGGGAAGCGAAGACTGTGCAGCTCATGTGCATATATGGCAACATTACTCCATGGTAGTGCTGATCTGGCTCTTGTAAAGTTAGATGATAGCATGAGGAGTGAGGTACTTATTGGAGCGGTACAAGAAACTATTTTCCGAGGATATATAGAGATGGGTCGTATGAAATCCCAACAGGCGATTCGAAAAAGATTCTGAGTGCACTTGATGAAGATAAAATATTTCCCCCCCACTGTACTGTTAGATCTAGATCAGAGGAGGTTTCCAGCTTAAGACCTTAATCTATTTTGTTATTTAACCCATAACTGCTGGAGCAGCATACAGGAATTGATGACTTTCACAAGAGCATTTGTACAAAAGTGAACTCGACAAATTGCTGATTCCACTTTCAGTAACCCTAGCCACTTACCTTCAATAGAATAACGTCTATAAAATCCGCATGTTAGTCTGTTATGAGTTTCGATCAAAGGATAAAATGCTTTCGCTTCGACTAATATTGGCGCTCCCTTAATTAGGCCGAACGGATAGTGAAACGATTTTAAGTCTCTCCGGTCGATTTAGTGATTAAATAAATTCGATTGCAATCACAAAAGGCAACCGTGGCGAGAACAATGTTGATCCGACAAGTTAACTGCAAGGGTATATTTACGGCAGGGGATTCGTTAATTCAGTTTGAGATGCGAGTAATTTATTGTTCAGAGCCAAGTACGGATTAAGCTATCAAAATTTCAGGCTCCATGTGCACTAGCCTTTAACAATCAAAACGCGATATATATATATATATATATATATATATATATATATATATATATATATATATATATATATATTTTCGGTATTGATCTCAATCTGGAATTAGGCATGCACTTTCTAAATTACAATTACCATTAATTGAAGATTTGTAAAATACGACAAGGAGGGTAAGCAGTTAAGTTTAACAGTACGTGACAAAACAAAATGAAAAGTTGTCAAATGAGCAAATGTAAAGATGAAATTGCTACCACAAACACACACACGTATATATATATATATATATATATATATATATATATTAAATTGTGCAGTATATATATTGTATCCTAAAGAGGTAATTATGCAAAGAATTAATTAGCAATGTTAATGTAATTAATGACGAAACCACATTAACTTACTAACAGTTTATTTAATAACGTGGTCATTATATTTAAATTGTTGTCTAGGCTAATATTTTCGAAAATTTCGGATTTTCATTATGAGGACGTCATTTTTCCATTCCAGATAAACTCCAAGACGAAATAAATGTAGTTTATACCGAAAGACTTTCTTTAAAAATATGATTTTTATTGGAAATTCTATAATTTTG